CAATTTCAAACGTTTCGATGACGTTATTGTAGTTACAATTTCACATTCTAAAAATGGTATGTCACGTACGTTTACAATTACTTCTCGTCTGGGTTCTGTTTCTCACCTAGAAATTCTCAAGAAATATATCAATATTAGACTGGAAATTAAAACTGAAATTTCACGCTTTTTTATTCGCTATCAAGCAGGTGGATGTTACAACCAACCAGTCGGCAAGAATACCCTTTCTATGATTCCTAATAAAATTGCAGTTTTTGAAACTAGAACATCCTGAAACATATACCGGCCATTCATTCCGAAGAACATCGGCAACGTTACTGGCGAATACATGTTGATGTATTAGCAGTCAAGAGACATGGTGGGTGGAAATCAGCCACAGTTGCAGAAAGTTATGTTGCTGACAGATTATTATGGAAACGGTCTATAATCTCCTAAAGTAAGATAACTTTCGAAGAATCATAAGAAGGAAACGTTTTAGGGTTTTCCAAAATCTATTACAATAAAGAAAAATTAAGTATAGGTACAGGATCAATAAAAATGTAATGACGAAACAAAGTTGCTTTTTCTTTAACATAACACCATGTATGTTATTCCATATTCAATTCTTCTAGAAATACTAAACAAACTTCGTATGTGCACATCATGTATCTAAACTGAACCGTTTTCGAGATATCGAACTTTGAAATTCATTTTCTTATAATAAATTATTCAAAAATATTTGTCCATTAAGTTTATAGTCCATCTAGTTACTTTTAAAAGTTTCTAGCTCCATAACAACGCTGCGTTGTTCTTTTGTCTGATAGTGATAACACATGTCAAAAATACATTTAGTGTGAATAATTTTCCCGCGAAAATGGCACCTTAAAGTGAAACCGAGCGTATTGAAGTTTGAGTGATCATACGATATGGTGATAGAAGACGAAGTTGTGACGAAGTAGTGGATATTTTTCATGAATTGCATCCCGATCGGGAACGTATTTCTAAATCAACCGTTTCAAAAACATTGCAGCGTTTTCATGAAACTGGATGTGTTACAGATCGACGAAAAAGTGAAAGACCAGTAAGCGTTACAAATAAAGAAAATTATTTGAATGTCATGTTAGATGTGGTGGAAAATCCAATAAATTCCACACAGCAGAGGGCTTTAAATCATAACATGAGTGAGATATTTTAATCAAAAAATTTGCAAACGGTGAAAATTACATCCATATAAAATACACTTGTTACAATACCTAATTGAGAGAAAACGATTGTGATGGTAGAATCGAGGTCTGCGAGGTTATTATTGATAAATTAAAGAAGATGTCAACTTTGTCGCCCTCATATTATTTTCTGACGAATTTGTTTAAACAGGCACGTCAACCTATACAACTATAGGTATCGGTCAGACCAAAATCCACATTGAATGGACGAAGTTTACACCCAACGACCACATAGAGTAAATGTTCGGTATGGCATTATTGGTGGACACATCATAGCACCCTATGTTATAAACGGAAATTTGACTTCTGAGCGATATTTATTACTTTTACAAGAACGTTTTATTTCAGAGCTTATATGATGGGGCTCTTCCACATTTTGGGCATATCTAGATGAAACTTTTCCTGATAATGAAGTGGTGCAGGGAGGCAATTGAATGGCCAACTAGGTCTCCCGATATGATACTGCTTAACTTTTCTGTGAGATTACATAAAAAAATGTAGTTTACAAAAATAGGCCGCAAAATATCGAAGAGTATTAGAAAAGTATAAGGCATGAAATTTCCACTATTTCTCCCAATACCCTTTTAAATTCAATACAAAATTTTGTTCAGCGAATTCATAACTATCAGGAGGTAAATGGTGAACGCTTTGAGCACCTTGTAAAATAAAATTCCAAAGAAAATATTTGTTGTTTATTAAAACTCGTTTTCTCTTTTTTTATTCTGGCACAACTATCGTTTTCATAAAATTTAAAATATCCAGGACATTCATTAAAAAATACGTTTTTTTCGTTTCATGCATTTTTATCAGTCCTGAACTATTATTCTTTTTTATTTTCTGTAAAAAAGCTAATAAAAAAATTACATCATAATTTGAGAGTAGTAAAAAGTTACCGTTAAAGTTCGATATCACGAAAACGGTTAGGTTTAGATAGATACAGATGTGCTATATGAATTTCCTTTGCAATTTCGAGAAGAACTGCAATATGGAATAATATACAGGGTGTCTCATTAAAGAAAAAGCGTTTGTGTCTTAGGATTTTTCGACAGCTTTCTTACTTTTGGAGATAATCGATCGTTTCCATCCATATCAGCGACCCTATATAATTTTAATCCTTCTAATGACTTGCTTTAAAAAAAATTGTACTTATCGAGAACGCTAACGCTGGCTAAGTATAACATCTTCTCGCACTGTATTTTAGCGTTAATTCCTCCCTTATTAAATCTTTTTATATGACTGATTTATATCGCCAGGTAAAAAATAGCGTATAACTGAAACAAAGAAGGGTAAATTTTTCATATTTAAATTTAAGCATTGGGCTGCTCACCAGTCTACGGTCTTCCCGTGAAACTGACGGGGAAAGGCGTTGGAAAAATATGCAAATTGCAGCGCAAACTCGCCGGATAAAAGTAAGCAAGCTTTCAACATAAAAAAAAGACGATTAAAAGGGCAATCTATTATACCCTTTTCGTTATTCTGAAAGGGGATCAAACTTAGCATGCATCCCTCGGAAAGTGAATGGTCCAAGTTTGGTGTTCTTTATGGAATTGAAGCCTATAGCTCCCGATTAATTATTTACGATGTAACCTGATTGATTCCCCTGGCACGACTTTCGGTTGCCGATGTACTTTCCAATAAAAAATTATATGATTCGTCCGGTTAATAACATGGATTATATTTCTGTGGGTATAATTAAACAATATCTAGAACATGGATACGAATAAATTGGTACTTACCGTAATTTTTTACATTTAATTGCATTATACTTATTACACAACTTACTGAAATGAAAAATGTGTTAAATTGATTGCCATTCGAAGAAACAAAATGAAAATATATCGAGATTAGATGATCATTTATTTAATCCATCAAATTTTAATTTGATTTGATGTTAATTGTCGCAATGAAATGTAGGTATTATAGTTAATTTTTGAACAGTGAATTTTCCTTTTATTGCAATTTACGTATTTGCTGTCGAGGCTTAGTGCGGCGCAGAGTTTAACAGGGCCGTAGTCAGATTACGAATGAAAATATTAATATGCTTACAGAAAATATGTCGCAACATAGTATTATTACCAAAGAGCAAGGCTAAGTAGAGGATAAAATACCTATATAAATTAAATGACACCACTTACCCGATAAACCTTAGTGTTGAGACAAGGCTTCCGTGGCATATTGGAAGTTTATCACTTACTATTGTCTCCTTCAAAATAGGCTCCATTTGAAGGAATAAACCTTTTCCAATGAACAACCCAGTCGTCAAAGCACTTTTTAAACGCATATTCCGGTATAGACTTCAACTACTTCACTCACTTGTTTTATGGCATCTATCGACTGGAAACGTATTCCACGAAGTGATAATTTGAGTTTGGGAAAGAGGAAAAGTAGCAGGGGACATTTCCGGCGAATACGGTGATGATATTCGTTAAGTTTTTGTCAAAAATTCTTTCACAATTATCACTTTGTATGATGGTGCATTTTCTTGGTGCAAAACACAAGAATTGTACTTCCACAAATGTGGCCTTTTGCATGCGGCGGATACTCTTTCTCAAACGTCTCCTAACGCCCAGATAATATTCTTTATTGACTCCGAAAGGAATTCTATGTAGACAACACCACCATAGTAAAAAAAAAAAACATTTTCGGTTCATTAGAAAAGTACCAATCCTAAGTTTGTTGGCTCGGTTTCATGTCAAACTCGTAAACTCATGTGTCGTCACCCGTTATGATGCGTTGTATGAATGTTTGCGATGCTGTTTTTGAAGAAAATTCAGCTCTTTTGGAACCAGCCTTACTGCGACGCATTTCATACCCAAGACATCAACTAAAATGATGCCAACTGATTCGTGAGACGTGTTTAATTCATATGTCAGCTCTCTCAAACTATTATGAAGGTCTGCAAGCACTATTTCCTTCACCTTGTCGTTGTTTTCTTCAGTTGAAGACGTTGGAGGACGACCAGAACATGGCAAATCACGAACCACTTCGTACACGTCTAATTGCTTTGTACCATTCGTGTGCTTATTGGAATTATCCAGTGTTTCTCAACACTTTCAACGATTCAGCACAAGAAATTCCGTTGGTAGTATAAAATTTTAGGCAAACTCTAGTTGAATAGCACTGCCCATAGTAAAAACCGCGGAACACACTTTAGGTTAACTAACAAAATTAACAGCTGTAAACAAACTGCTTGATAGATTGCGCTCAAACTTTGCTACCAACTTTCCATCAAATAAGAAATTTAAATCTAGTTTACGCGGAATTTCTAAATGACAAATAGCGGATACTTTTCTGACAAATGTATGTTTTTATCTATTAGGAAAGAAAGGTTTTCCTGAAATATAGTTTTATTCCTATTCTCGTTACAGAAATAAACATATTAACATATTAATACACTAAACTCATTAAATGGTATGAAAATTTCTTCATATACACCTGTAGACTGGAAGGAATCCATTGTGCATTCGACAATAACTATAATTAATATTTATGAACCATGAAAAACGGTTTCATTTTTCCTCACTTCTAGTTAGAAATATTAAATACTTAACAAATCTTTTCGGTTATTACTATTATTAACTAAATCTTACATAACTTTTATATTCCCTTATAGCAACTAAATCCGTATAAATACCAGACAAGAAACTAAATTGTTTATCAGTAGTAGCAGTTCACTACCGCAAGTAACATTTCATACATACAATTACATTTCAAAATGGAAAAAATTGTAAGTTTGTATCACATTTTTCACATATTTATTCATTAGATAAAATTTACGAGCACTACAAAATTTTGCAGGTCTTAGTCGTGCTTTCCGCTGTCATTTTGGGCGCTTCAGCTGGACATGTAAGTAGATCATACATACAAGCATACAAAAGACAAGGTGTCTTTTGTATGCTTTAAAATGTAAATTTAGCTTCAGGACCAAGCTCAATACACCTTTGAGTATGGTGTCCATGATCCCCACACCAACGACATCAAATCGCAGCATGAGCAACGGATTGGCCACCACGTAACTGGAAGCTACACCCTCAAAGAGGCTGACGGTACTACTAGAATAGTTAAATACAAATCAGGACCTCACACTGGCTTCGAGGCGGTGGTGGAAAGGATTGGACAAGCTCAACATCCTAGCCAGTATGCTCGTGGACATGGTCATGCGCAAGGTTTCGGAGGAGCCACCAGCCATGTTGGAGGCACCCATTGGTCAAATCAGGGACCTGAAGGACACAGACATTAAACTGACTACGGTGTACCAATTCGTCTTTATTGTTTACAAATATTCTATTTTCATAAGACATAGAATAAAGAGTGCATAATAATTGTGTAATTTTTAAATGATACAAATCACATCAGTTAATAAAAATACCACACCAACCAAAGAGATTGGAAGGTGTAGAGGGAACAAAGACTACAATTTGTCTTCACAAAAGTTGTTTTTTTTACTTAAATTCTCGCTGAAACCTTTAAAACATAATGTAATATTTTCAACAGGTGTGATTCCTAGTACATGGAAATCATTTACAGTAGCTCCAGTCAACAAATATGTAAGGTGTAAGAAGTTTGACTGCCATTACTTCAGCATGAAATAGAGTAATCATAAATGAACAAAAAAGTTGTATATTACAGGGGCGTAAGATTAACAGTTTTCAAAATACAACGAGTATTAATATTGGGGAGTTTCATCACAACGTGACGACAACCTGCTGATGCACACCACTGGTACAAGCGGCAGAGTTGTCCTACGGAAAAAATTTAAATAGCTGTTATTGTGAAACATTTAGTAAATTTCAAGATAATTGTTTTCCACTTTTTAAATAAATTAAATAAAATGTATCTATTTTGTAGTACGAAGAAAGTGTTGTGCTTAAATTTTAGCTGGAATTTTAGTAATTATGAATCCCTTAAAACAGGAACTAAACTTTTAATCAAATAATGTATTTGAAAAATATGTAATTAAAGTATCCAAAGATTCACGTCGTTCAAATAATCATAAGTATTAAAATTAATTTAGGTACGTACCAAAAAGCAAAATTCAGTAATTTTTAAACGCACAAGTACAAAACAATCTACAACATATGCTCAAAATGTCCACCACCATTTTCGATGTACGCACGACGCCTTCGAATCCAATTTTCTCGCACTCGCTGGAAAACACCTCAAGAAAAGGAAATAGTGGTACGCAAAAAACACTCCGACACGGTCGAATTCAGATACCAACTGAATTGCGTATTGGTGGTTGTTGGACACCTTAGTACCTCGTGTTAATAAACCGCCACGCCGTTGTCACATTGCTCGATACGAATTTTATCAAATTTTAAATTTATTGCAACGCTATTTTTTTTAGAATTAAGCATAAAGAAGTTCAAAAGTGATAAACATTGTATTTTATGGTATTTTATGCACGCAGTTGTGTCAATATTCCTTAATTAATTGAACTTTTGTACATCAAGTTGATAATTTTTTTCTGGGAAATAGTTGAGTTTAGGACCATAGAAAATATAGTACTAACGTAGAATGAAATGTCCCTAATATTGTCACTAAACCGCGAAACAGCGCCACGTAACGTTTTGGAAGCTTACTACTACTTAGCCCCTAATGAGTAGGCAACACTTTATACTTTGTGAACTGATTACAGCGCCATCTATCGTATGGAAACGACTTCTCACTTATATCCTCTATATTATGTTATTTTAAAAGTATACCCTTATACACATAGGAATAGTCAAGTGTCAATACTTTTGAGAACAGATTATTTAGTTAAACAGAAAATGTAGAGAAAAACTAATATTCAGTACTTTTCTAATTCACTTCTGCTTTGATAACGAAACTAGAGNGAGTTTAGGACCCATGTCATATAAGTTTTTTTTTTAATTTTAATGTATTCTATCGTCTGTTAAAATTAATTGAGCCACCCTGTAGACCAATAATAATCAGTCTAGTCTTAGATTTAACAAGAACACCGAAGGTGCAGAAATTTCACTGGCTAATGAATTAATCAATCACATTAATAATAGGAAAAAATGTCTTGCATGATATATTATTACAAAAATTAAATAATATTGGAGTAAATGGATGTTGGTTAGATTTATTAAAATGTTACCTAAAAACGAAATGCAAAAAATTAAAATAAATAACAATAAAGAGTTGCAAATGGAAAAAAAAGCAATAAAGGGTTACAAACAGAAACAAATATCTTAAAATCACTTTTATTGAACTTGGATATTTCTTAATTGTTGCCAACACAATAAAGTATTTATTTAAACCATTAACAATATTTATTGGGAGCTTCAGTTGCTTGGCTGCCAAGAAACCATAATTTATACCAAACAGATCATACAAGGGGTCTAAACAGTATCAATGCAATTGATCCACAATGCATATTGCCTGTCGATTATGGAAAAAAACACTGCTTCGTCTCCGAGAAATTCTATAATTACGACGGTATTTTAATGATATTGTAAATTTACCTAACAATGGCAGCGTGATTTCTTTTCTGAAGATAAAATTTTGGACAAGGTTCTACAGAGAAGCAATAGAAATTAACAATTCCAAATAATTTCAACCAAAATGGCTTGGAACTACTTGCAATTACCAGCATACATCTCCAGTTTCAGAATATTTCTTCTGAATCCATTAGGCTTCCTTCAATTTTCAATGAAAAGCTTTATATAATACGGCTATTTGCTTCTGTCTTTTATACATCTAGAGGCAGACATATGACAGAACGAAAGGCACCATTCAATGACTTTTAATGATACGCAATTTCTTATAGTTTAATCAACTTTGCCTTTCCAGGCAAGTGAATTAAATTGTGTTATCCTTACGATTTTCTCAATTTTATTGCAAAATTACTACTGATATAAAGATATAAAATCAAACTAAAACGAGTCTTATGCCCAGCTGCCTTACAGTCTTTCTTAAGACCGACTAAACATAAAATATCCAGTTTTTGTATTCTTCTCACATCCATTTACAGATTTCCGTGTTTTAAGTTGGCGCGACGTGCACACTGTCATTCTTACATCAGAGGGACGTGGAAATATGATTGAAAAGCTTTTCTACGTCGAACGGGGAAAATTGGAAGCAAGTCACCACAGTCTAACCAGAGGCGTAGGTGTCCTGATGGGGGAATAATATCTTGATTAAAATACAACTTACGTATGTGGAGAGCATTGTTAATTTCCTTAAATTCTAGACATTATTGAGTTACATATGGCTTAGTTATACGGGGTGTTTCACGAACAGTACGTAATGTAATGGCGGAGTGGGGGGAGTCGAGATTTGTCAATAAAGAAATATTTTAATTTTCACTATCTCCATTAATTAAAATTATATGTACAGACAAGGTATGGCTTAACTGGTGATAAACATGAAATAACAAATATTTATCTAATGAATTTTATTGCTAACATGATTATTAATGTGTACTTGTTTTGTGAATGGCGGTAAGATACTTGGTTAAATATAGAAATTCTTGTAATTTCTGCATTTGTAACGTCTCTGTCGGTATAAGTCCGATTGGAGAAAACGGACGTCAGAAACAGATTGTTCACGGCATCTGAATCTTTCTTCTACAGCCAAGTCAACAAAATATTATTATCGGGACCGTTCCATATTAAAATAAATACTCGGGAGGAAAATAAAGAAGGAACGTTTGATATCTAGAGTTTTACGTTTTTCCTATTTTTCTGAGCCGCTCTTATTTACCAGCAGGTGGTGAAATATAAGTCCTCATAACAACACAAATATGTGAAATAAAGGGAAATATTATCCCTCAAATTTTTTTTTATAAAAAATTCTATATTATTACTTATTAACTAACAAATATTGCAACTTTTACTTTACTTTATTGGTATTGAGTTGATTCAAATTAAATTTTAAATTTTCCCTAAATCCACTATTGGAAATAGTTAATGGAACAAACAATTTTCATGAATTTATTCATGTTCGAAAGACTATCTCCGGGGAAAATGATCGTATCGCTTTAGGCCTCTAGTTTCAAGATCTTTAGACAACAATTTTTTTATGACTGCCCATTTATTCAGGAATTTTTTTTAAATGCAATTAATACAGAGTTCAGTTAGCTTATTTATTCAGCTTCAATTTGATTTTTGAAAGGTCTCCGTGGGACTTTTGGTTGCCGAGATGTCGATGGTTGAATGAGAAATAACACTTTTGTCCAAAATCATCGCAAAAAATTGTTGCACAGTAAATTCAAGGGCAGTTTTGAAAACTTGACTAAATTCTCTAGAAGGACCTGTCATAGTTTTTGAAAATTTTTTTTTCATCAATTTGAAAAAAGTACAAAAAATGACTTTACACTTTATTTAGAAAATGTATCTAATATTTATGAAAAACGAATGCTGATAAATTTTTGAAAACATTTTTTTTTAATTTTTCAACATTAGTCTATTATTAAATATTTGTAAATTAGCGATTGATTTTCTAAAAAACTGTAAAAAGTAATTTTTTTAACTTTTTTCAAATTGATATCAAGGATGAAAAAAAAATTTCTTCGAAAACCATGACAGGGACCTTGTAGATAATTTATTCGAGTTTTCAAAACTGCCCCTGAATTCACTGAGCAATAATTTGTTGCAGCGATATCGGTGTTTAAAAACAAGTGTTATTTTTCATTCAATCGTCGGTATCTCGTCAACCAATAGTCACAGAGAGACCTTCCAAAAATCAAATTGAAGCTGAATAAATAAGCTATCTGACCTCTGTATTGAATGAGTTTGAAAAATTTTTCCCGAATCCATGGGCAGTTCTAAAAAAAAAAAATTGGAAAATTTTTTCTCGAGATATTTCCTCTGATTGCTTGAAAACCGTACCTAAAAAAAATGTTTCGTCTAAAGATCTTGAAACTAGAGACATAAAACTTCAAAATGGTCTTTTTTTATCTCGATCCGACCATTTTTCACTGAGATACAGCCTTTCGAAAATCACTAAAAAATTTATGAACATTTTTTGTTCCTTTCTTTCCAGTCAAGTTGCCTCCTTTTCAGACTGAATTAATGAATATTTGAATATTAATAATTAAACCATATACAAAATATTAGAAAAAATAACGTTTTAAAATATGTAAGTACATATACAGGATCGGAAAGTCCCCATGGTACATCGGCCGTACGTGAGAGCGATAAAGTAAGTCATAGAAATCCGTGCGATAGACAAAGATGGTTACATTGAAGACGTTTCATAATCTGAACGACAGATGGACCATGTGGATTTTCC